TCTCCCACTCCCGCTGCTTGTGTTCCTGCTTTTGCTGTCTCTGTCTCTGTCAAATAAATAAATAAAATCTTTTTTAAAAAACAAACAAAGTGGCTTTATTTGAAGGGCACAGACCCCCCTCTGCAGGATGCTGGACAGTAGGAATAAATACACGAATAAGAAACACGTTCAACCTTCTTTCTTCATGATTTTTCCCTCTACTCAGACCCTGGATTTCCCCGGGGTAATATTCCTGCTGACTGAAGCTCATAGTCACTCATTTTTAAATCATGGATCTTACATAGACCAAGTCATTGCCTTTTTAACTTAAAGTTACGTTGAATAGTGAGACTAATGAGAATGTGGGATGGTTGCTATTCATTTTTTTATTTATTAAGTGAACCAATATTTATTGAGCGCCCATCAGGCAAAATGCACAACGTCCTGGGATGAAGGTGTAGCCGCTTCCTTTAAGGTTGGACATTGGGCGGGTGGACACTGATGTGGAAAGAGGCAGTAACGAGTGGAGTGATAAATGCTGCGCTCACAATGTGGCAGAAACACAGTAACTGTGACGCAGTTATCTTAGAGTTTTAAAAGTCATATTTCAAAAGATTTCTAAGAGTTAATTTGCTCCATCCATTTGACAATATGTTCTAGTCAGTGAAACTTTCTGAGTTCATCTTATTTTTCTCTTCATCCCCTCAAATTCCTAATATATTTGAGACCATGGGCAATTGTGATCGTCACATGTGCTGTGGGGATTGTTTGAGGACCTTCTAGATCAGAATTTTCCAAACTGCAGGTTTCAATCCACTAGTGGGCTTTTAGTCAATCTAATGAGCTGTGAATAGCACTTCTTTAATGAATAAGACAGAATAGGATGCATTGTACTCAAGCAGGGTAGGTGTTGTTTCTTGATGCTTTTGTTTCAATTATACACTTATATGTGTAACGTGCAAAATGTATCTCTTACTGTGGCTCATGGTTTAGAAAATTTGGAAGCCCCTGTTCCCTGTTATAGAGAGAGAACCTGGTAAGTGGTGACTGAAGGAGCACCTAACAGAAATCAAAAGACCCACGTTCTAAGCTCAACTTTGCCACCCTGAGACCTGAAGAAAATCATCTCACCTCTTCGATTATCAGCTTCTTCATCTGTCAACCAGGCCAACGGGTATTACCAAACCTCTCTCCAGATAATGGTGAAGATTAAATGTGACCATAAGTAGAAAGGATGTACAAGCCCTAAAACCCCAAGTCCTAGAATGTAGCAACATGGTAACAGACATTTTAGACCCCTAAACAAACGGGGAAGCAGCATTCCCTAGATGGGATTATGAAGAAGCGATCCTGATCTCCCTCCTCCTTATGGAAGCTCTCTCATCTCTTCTCCCACCTCCCCCACCTCACTCTCACCTCTTACGGTGATCCGTGTTCCTCTTATGTGAAGAGGAAGAGAGTATGAGACGTATTGTCTAGACCAGGCATTATCTCTCTCTCTCTCTCTCTTTTTTTTTTTTTAAGATTTTATTTATTTCTTAGAGAGAGCATGAGAGAGACAGAGCATGAGCAGGGAGCAGGAGTAGAGAGGGAGAAGCAGGCTCCCCGCTGAGCAGGGAGCCCAACGTTGGTGGGGCTCGATCCCAAGGACCTGGGATCATGGCCTGAGCCTAAGGCAGAGGCTTAACCAACTGAGCCACCCAGGGCCCCGGGGCATTATCTCTTACTACCAGCAGGAAGGAAGAAATACCGGCTGAGAACAACTACACCTGCAAATTTAGTTACAGTTTACAACATGCTTTTAAATGCAGCCTTTCATTTAATCATCACAAAAATCCTTGGCATATTCCTACCCCCATTTTGCAGAAGAGGCTCATTAAGGTTATGTGAATTGCCCAAGGTCCTGTAGCTTATAATGTGGCAGAGATAAGATCAGCTGGCTGAAATAGCAAAGATGAAACTCTGGAAGCAAATTAATTCAAGGAATCCACATTTCCCTCTGCCCACAGAGGAGAATAACACGAAAAGAAAATAATCAGATGCAGCTAGAGCCAACATCGTGTGGCAGGGTGGGATTGGGGTGCGGAGGGTTCAGAAAGAAAGCCGAGGGCAGAGAACGGAACTCCAGGCTGTCTGCTGCAGGGTCCACCTCCTGAAGGAAGTACCCACCTCTTTTAAGAGGATCTTTAGCCAAGGTAGTGGGAATGCAAGAAAGGGATATGAAAGGCTTCTTTCTCCTGGCCCTGGAGATCAGCCAGCCAACTGCGTCAAGCCCAGTGCTAGCAGAATTTTTCCTCTGGGATTTGAGACCCACACACAGTACTTCCGTGCACAGGCAAAAGCCGGGACTCGAGCTATAGGGAACGTGCAGTTCCCTTAACTGCCACCAGGTGACGCAGTGATCCTAACTACAGCCGCTCTGGGAGTTTGGGAGAAAACAAATTCTGTAGAAGACCAGAAGACCTAGAGTTAACCATCAATCCCAGAAGACCTCTAGAAAATGAAGAAATGCTGATAACTACTTATTAATATATACTTTTTTTCCATGTCAGATTCCTAATTCTGTCAGATGCTGAGTTTGTCCGTTCGGGAACAGGATAAAACAGTTCAGGCTCTGGAATTAGTGCCCCAGCTCTGATACTTGGGTAACCATAGGCAAGCCGCTTGACTTCTCTAAGACCCAGTTTCCTCGTCTGTAAAATATGGATCATGATAGCACCACACTGATGGGGTTGTTCTGAGGATGGTATGAACAGTACATGTTGGCTGCTAATATTTTGCTTTCCTTTTTACCCATTTGACAGTTTGAGAAGCGTGGGTGTGGAGAGAAGGGGGTGCTCACCTCCATTCTCCATTCTGTCCCCACATTGACTATATCAGTGTCGGTGCAGCTCAAGACACCGCATCCCTCAGCAACTTCAGCCACCTTGGACTTCTTTAGGGTTAATGAGAGAGGCCAGCCTACGATCAGGTGAGGGGTGAGGGCAGCAGTGACAGGGGCAGAAATCAGGGGCCGTACAAGGAAACCTGACTCAGGACTCTGCCTTTCAGAACATCAGCAGCAACTCAAAGACAATCACTACATTCCGGCCTTCATCGTTTTCATTTATTTTTACAGGTGTCTCGACCATGAACCATTTTAC